TATGAAGATGTTAGGTGAGCCCATTAGCTCATGGAATTGTATAAGCCCAATGGCCCATATTGAATCTGGGCCGATCTGACGGTCATGACCAGTGTTCGCAAAATCGAATTGGAACGGTTCATCGAACATGGGGCTGAGAGAGGTTTGAATCGGAACCGGACTAATAGGAGCGGTTAACCGGACTAACCGGTCAAGTAGATTTTTTTTAAAAAAAATGGGTAAAACACTCTCAAAAATAAAAAATAAAAATAGAAATACTTAGATTAAGTGTATAATAACTTAAATATATTTATCTTACAAAAAACAATTTGAAACAAGTTTTTATAAATTAATATTCGAATATTATAGTCCGTACATGAAAATATCATAGAATATTTTTTGAAGATATTTTTGTCATGTAACATTTTCCAAGAATTAACATATTTATCCCAAACTTTACATGAAAAACTTTCTTTTTTTTTGTTTTTCTTTACAAAAATTGCTCACATTAGGAATGAAAGTTTATGCACTTTTTGTTTTTTTGCAAATAACAAAAGTAGCTTGATGCTATTAAATCAAATAAAAATGCCAATTAATTAAGACAAGAAATAGAAAGGACCTCTTCCACATAGTTAGATAAAGCATAATTCATACAATACTTTTTCGATGAAGTTAAATAAGGCATACTTTACAAAAAGTACATCTCATGATATGCAACAAAATGAAAAATCAATGCACATCACTCTGTTCTACTGGTCTTATATGTTCTTATATGTATCTACCATATCCATCTCAATGTGTTATGCGTCGAGTTTATCAAAAAATAAGAACAGTAGAACAAATAATTTGATCATAGAAAAACACTTTTCATATTTATCATAAAACAAAATTTTATTAAAAAACCATAATTTTATCAAAAAATAAGTTTACTAAGCAAAATGAAAAACCACTTCCCATATTCATCATAAAACATAATTTTATTAAAAACCCATAATTTGATCAAAGAAATATTTTCATTGAGCAAAATAGAAAAACGGTTCACATATTCATCAAAAAACATAATTTTGTTCGAAAGATGATTTTATTAAGCAATATAGAAAAAAACTTCCCATATTGATAAAAAACATAATTTTACTAAGCAAAATGAATTTTTTTTAGAAAAATCAATTTCTCAAATTAGGGATGATTTGAAATTAAGATCACATTTGTAAAACTCTTTATCTCTCTTTGGAATCGGGCCACATCGGGATTAGCCAGTGACTGATCTCGAGTTAGTCGGTCGATTTTTAAAAAATTGGCTGATATTTTAAAGACTCTTTCCATTACATTCTAAAAACCTTGATAGAAAATGGAAAAAAAAAAAAAAAAAAGAAAAAAAAAAAAGAAAAAAAAAGAGAAGAACCAAGTACATACAAGAAGGTGTAGTATTTTATTGAACATAAGGCAACCAAATTTTTTACATGCACTTAAAAAAGCAAAATATCCCATTTCCATCATTACAAATATAACTATATTAACTTAAAAAAATATATTTAAAAAAATCGAGCGACATTATCATGCACTTATCAAAAAGAAGAATCAATTTCATAAAAAAATAAATTTATCAAAAGAATAATTTTATTAAGCAAAATAGAAAAAGAATTCCCATATTCATCAAAAAACATAATCATATTAAAAAAATATAATTCTATTAAAAATAATTTTATTAAGCAAAATAGAAAAACACTTCCCAATTTCATAAAAAAACATAATTTTCTTAAACAAAATATCTTTTTAGAAAATTGAATTTTAAAGAACCCAAAAAATGAAGCAACATTTTGGGCAAGAAACGCTTAATGTTTGGATAATCGAACAAATGAACATACATACATTGTAAAGGCTTCGATCATCTTTCAAACGCATCAAATATCATAAAAAAATATTCGTTAATTTTAATTTAATTGAAGAAAAGACAGAAATTTCAGATCTACGAATTTTCATGATATGATGCAACGAAAAAATTCATATAAAAAAATTTATTCAATCATAAATAAACATGCCAATTTTTTTTGAGATATAAAGCCCCAATGATCAAAATTGACAACTGAATTTAATAAAAAAACATCAAATAAATGGACAAAAAATCTGCGTTTTTGGGTAGAACACAAGTTCTCGGAGCAGCAGCTTTTCGGGCAAGAATAAACCCTTGATTTTTTTGTTTTCTGAACAAATTAAAATTTGAATCTAGTAAATACTTTGAATATCAATCCAACCCCTCAAATTTCTTCAAAAACCATTGGGTATTGAGGAGATTATTGAAAGAATGACGGAAATTTTTAAAAACCTAAAAAATCCGCCATTTCAATCCAAAAAC